CTCTCTCTAATAATCGCATTAGACTGCATTAATAACTGCGTAAGCCTGCATATCAATGGCTTAAGCCTCTGTTATCAGCTCTAAAATTACGTTTTGGAATTTGCAACGGAAGGTTTGGGATGAGGTGCGTAAAAAAATTAGTTCAACCCACACGAGATTTCAGGACGGAAACATGTCAAATGTCTTGAAACAAATGATCCGAACAATTTCTTGATGTGTGGTTGGGACTCCAGGCCGTTAAAATTATCAGAGAAATAATGCACTCCTGGAGGTGGTTATGTGGCCACGACTATATGGTATGGTCTTTCTCAGTTCTCAAACAAATTAAGAACTATTCGATTTTTATTGACTGAACGCAAGCGCTTATTCCGATAGAAAACAATCTTCAGGAAAAGTGAATTCAGTCCAGCCCATGAAAAGCTTTCAGCAGCCTCTTATTATGTCAGTCTGAACAAATGTCAGCGCAGTACCGAATATGGTGCTCTTATCTTTCACAAATGGAGAGCAGGATGTGTTGGATAATTGGGTTTAATTGCAATAACTGAAACTGTAGACACAATAAGGCATGAGAAATTTCGAATCCTACAATAATGAAGATTTGGCTCATGAATATCAGTTCTGTCTGGAATGTTCAAGATGATTAACAACAATACCATGATGTAAAGATAATAAAAAATATTTTTATAATGTAAATAAATGTAAAAAAATCAACAAATAAATTTAAAAAGGCTTCATTTTCTTTAAGTAAAATTTCATTTTGGCTTGATGTAAATATGTAATTTAATTATATTTCATAAATAAATAAATATAAGACAGGCTTCTTTTTAAATAAAATTTGATTTTGATGTAAATTATGTAAATATCTCATTTAATTATATTTTATAATTTAAATAAGTAAATAAGGAAGCACGCAAGCAAACAAACAGATAAATATAACACGTGCTTAATTTTTAAGTCAAATTTAATTTCGTGAATATATCATTTAATTATATTTTACAGTTCAAATAAATGAATATATATATATAAATAAATAAACAAAAAGTACAGATAAGAATATCGTTAAAGTACCGAATCGATAAGCAGTATCGGTAAGAGTAGTAATACCGTTAAAACCTTAACGATACCCATCCCTAGTCTCTGCCAAGCTGCAGCATGTAACCCAACGCCAAGCTAAGTTCAGTCTGTAGAAGCGATAAAGCCAGAAATAAAGCCACAGAGTTAACACTAGTAGTGGCAGTAGGCATCTTGGATATCAGTGAATTATATGCAAATGGGGGCTGCATGTATAGGCATCAGCAGGATGCTAACCCTTCGTTTTTTTTTTTTTTAACCTGTGAAACATTTTGTTAGGCAGTTTTATCATTCTAAAAATCACATTGGTGTGCTTTTTGACCAATATGAAAAACAAATTACTAGCAGGCCACATACATTATATTGTATTTTTTAGAGTTGGCATGAAATTAATTTCTTTTTCTTTTTTTTGATAATTTGTTACACACTACTTCTGCTTCATCATGATTTAAAAAAAAAAAACTATTAGAATATGGTATGTAGTGCTGTGTTCAATACATCGATACAACGATGCATCATCACAGAGATTTGATGATACGAGTATCGATACAGCTGTCTCTGTATCGATATTGTGGCAGTGTGAGTAGAAAAGTGCAAGGTTTCTAAAAAATAATAAATAGAGCATAATATATAGGCTAAAACAAGGTTTAATCTGGACGCAGAGGAACACAACCGGGGTTGCCTGATGTAAAGAGACGTAATCCCCGAAACAGAACTTCCCACTTGCGCAACACGGAAATATCTGCTAAATGTGTTACTTATCTTTGTCAACCTGGCAACCATGTGTACGCGCACTCTCTCCGCTGTGGATAAACGCGCTTGCTTTCTGAAAACACCGGTAAGCTTGCAGTTTAGCGATCTCCACTTCAATCTTCTATTCTCAGAAAAGTGTAATTCATCAAGTGTTCATTTATGAGAGAGAGAGAGAGTGCCTTGTACATCTTGCAGATGATGCGAAAAAGCATGGCGTCCTTGACAACTTCAGTGCTTTCAAGTACGAGAATCACCTAAACAAACTCAAAAGACTTCTGAGGAAACCAACATGCCCTCTGAGTCAAAAAATAAAAAGTTTGCTTCATTTGCAAAGCCTTCCTTATATGGTATCAGCCCATATATGGTATCATTTGAAAGCTTAGAGTCTCTCTTTTGGTTTTATGATAAATAAAGCAGTAAAATGAAGCTTAGAAATGTATTTGTCCCACACACGAATTTCTGCCTAATGATTGCGAATAATTTTTACGAAGAATGTGTATTTTTGATATTTTTCACAAAACAGTCAAGTCATATATCACAAGAAAGCTCTCATTCTCAGGAATTTTATTATGTAATGTTATTTCATTGTGACAATCACAGATCGAATGATCTTCAATAGAATCGCGATGTGAAATTTGATACCTCTGAGGAAACATTCAGATGCGTCACATTCCTACTTGCACCATTGCTTCAGTCAGCCGCAAACAGCCAAAAACTCTATATTATCTTTTAAATTAGAATCTCTTCTTTCAAACGAGACCATTTTCACGTTTCTGTTTGCTCGCATTGGTTGGAAATCCACTGTTTTGTCGCAGACGCGCAACAGAGGCGCACCAGAGAAAAAAAGACGCTCTTTTGGCAAACACGCGCTCTCCAAATCATAGCATCTCCGGCCAGCGGCTCATATGTTCTACAACTCTGGGCTGCTCAGTGGGCGGCAATAGGTCAGATTACACGCCACTCAAGCGCGCCGGCCACTCAGAGCGGTGAAATTTGACACCTCTGGGTCAATAGACAGGAGGGGGAGAGAGAGAGGA